ATCAAAATTGTAAATCTCAGATTTAGGGTGATAAAAGTATATAGAAATAAGAAAAAGAGAATAAATATGATATTTAGAATATAAATATAAGATTTAGGATAATAAAATAAAGGTGAGATAATTATACGATTGGATAAAAATAATGATAATCAGATGATAAATTGTAAAAATTAAGAAAAGAAAGTTTCGTATAATCAAAGAAAGATTATTAAATTAGAAAAATTTATGTTACTATAATAACAATAGTCACATTCTTTCTATAGTTACCAAATTTTGCTTTTCTAAGAGTAGTAATTATAAAAAGATTTGATTATATATTTATATATAAATAAGAAAATAAAATAGAATGACTATAGAGAGGTGTGATTATAAATAAGTATAATTATAGAAAAGTTTAACTATATATATATAAGAATATAAATAATATAATTACAATCAAATCTTTCTATAATCATCACCCTCGGAAAAGCAAAATTTGGTGACTATAAAGGAAATGTGACTATAGAGAAATTTTTTTATTATGTTTATATGTAAATGGGAAAGTAAAATAGAGTGACTATAGAGATGTGTGACTATAAATAGATGTGACTATAAAGAGGTTTGACTGTATATAATAAATTATTTAAAAATAAAAAAATTATTAAATTAATTACTAAATTAAAAGTGATTTAAAAGTTCTTAGCCAAAATTAATATGTATATTATTATATAAAATTAATTAAAATAATATTGTGGTTGAAATTTATTAGGAAATTGTTTAATTTATAAAATTAAGCAATCTGATTGGTTAATTTTTCCGATGAATTTCAGTTGCAAATACTATCTTAAAATTATTCCTAGAGCGACTTAATAAAAAAATTTGAATTACCTGTTATACACCACCACAATCAACATTAATTTAAGAACTATTGCTTCTCAATATAATCTTACAATGAAAATATGATGTATAGTGACCCACATAAGAAACGGAACATCATTTTAAATTCAAATTAAAGATAATAACTTCTATTTACAGTCAACCCTCTTTATAACGGCTGCATGATTCTGAGAATTTATGGCCGTTATAAAATAACTTCATTATACAGTGTATATATAACGAATATATGTGTCCTATATGACGGTTCCAAAATTTCATTCGTTGTGAAAAATTGTTCCAATTGCAAAGTGATTGTTAGAATTTTTTATTTGATACAATTTCAGTCATTTTGCAATCAGAACAATTTTTTTCAAATTAAATGGAAGTTATTATCTTTATTTTGAAGAAATTGAAGAGAATTACTGTTTATTAATAAATGTTCCGTTTCTTATGTGAGCTACTGTATCTTGCAACAAAATAGATGATTTATCATAGAGTTTGCTTTTATTAGTTATATAATAAATAACGAAATAAATAAATAGCAAACTTTAAATTATGGTGCATAACATCTAAATTCAATAGGCTTCTTAACTAAGAAGTCATATTGACGTATTCCTATAGTGCATAATGTACCATAGGAAGTCGAAATTTAATACGTCTTAGTTAAGAAGCTATTGAATTTATCGTTATTGATGAGTTTAATTGTTATACACCATTGTTAAAAAGGTTAAGCTTAAATGTTATGGCTATATTATCATTCATTGTGGCGTAAACTGAGAATTTCAAGATTTCGCCAAAATACAATACCGATACAAAATTTCCTAGTCCATATTTTCCGGTTCGCATGTGTGAAATACAGTAGATTGATGTTTCCTTCAACAAAAACATAAATGAAAACATGATTTCATAAGAGTCATTTCCGCTTAATAATATTTAATATTTAATAACTACGTACGTTGCATTAAATAAAATTCCAAAAATCATCTATTAATGAAATGGATGATAAGATTGGTTCATGTTACATAAGAATACGTCAGAATGCGTAATCAAGTTACTGCGCAAGAATTCCATCTTGCCGAGCTATTATTAGTTCATAACAACTTTACAAACATTAAACAATATGCCATATGAAGATCAAGTGGACAATACTTTCATGTGCGATAATTTATGTAGGACAAATGCAAAATTTAATTACGGAATTCGAATTCCTATAAACACACAGTACAATGGATATCGATATATAGAAAATAGTGACTCACAAAATTATTTTGAAGATATGCAAAAAATATGTAAAAAATATGTAGAAAAAGTAAAAGAAGAAAAAAAAACAAATCTGTACAAAGTCTATCCTATATAGGTCCGATGAATGGGTAAAGAAGAAGAGAAAGAAAATATTTACAATCTATACAAATATCTATATTTTGGATTTTTCATATTGTTTTCTTAGGTGCGGAGATTCTCCGCGAAATGTGATTGTTTTAGTTGTGTAATTTTAATTGCGGCTAGTTGATTGATCTTGGTGGATTTACCAAGTGTGATCCAAATCTTAAATCATATGAATTAATTAAGGGAATATTAATAGAGTTAGAAGGGCTTTGTTGTTATCCGAGAAAAAAAGAGTAAATGAGATTCTTTCTTTTCTATCGAGAAAAAATTAAGGGGTGATGACGACGACGACGACGATCATTAAAAATTAGTAGTAATTTTTAATATATTCAAAAAAATAAACTAAAGAAATTAGCTGCCAATTCATTATTGGCATGTGCTTGTTCAGCAGGAGTTAATGTATTCGAAGTCGTCTGATTAGGTGAGGATGGACTTTCTATGATAGGAGTCGACGGAGATCTAACAGGACGATGTCTTGGAGGCAGAACTTGCGAAATTGGCTGATGATTAGGATTCAATTGCAAGTTCATTAAATCTTCGACTACTTGATTAGGCAGAATAGACACAAAAGGGAAAACTCTTGCTTGTAAATCATATGCAGAAATTTGAAAGATACGCACAAGAGGCAAGAATTCAGCCAAAGTCACTTTCAAAGAGGCAAATTGATCAGGAGTCCATTCGGACGAAGAATTAGAAGAATTTATATTAGAAGTATGAGCAATTCCCCATTCGATAATACGCTGCCAAATATTAATTTCTTTGGTAGTTAAATCATCACGATGCAACAGCGAAAGTAATGTTTGTCTATCTAACAATGCAAAATCTTTCGCCAGAAACACAGTTTCGGGGTAATTACTAATTACTTGATCACAGAATAATTGTAGTCGTTTAAATGCCTCGTGATGGAATGCGATTCGCTTTGTTTGTGCGAAATTTTGAAGTAGCCAAAGTGACTTCTTTTGAATAAGATAAAGTTGTAGTTGTTCGCATAAATCTTGTAGACCCAAGTCGTAACCTGCGACAAGAAGATCAAAAATATATTCGGTTCGGTCTGAATTTAATGTTATTTTATTATGATACATATATCTATTTATTTATTATAAAAAACAAAAGAAGATAATTAATTTACTTGTCTGCTATTAAGATCATAAGAATATCACGTAAAAAAACTGAAGAATAAAAAGTTCATTACTTTTTAAAAAATATATTTACTTTAAAAGTATTTCCATAATGTTTGGTGCAATAAATGGAGTCTTAATCAATGGATTCCGCATACCCGATAGTACCGCTAATTCTGCTTGAAAGTATGGTGAGCGCGCATTCAAAACAACTGAATGTGCACGAAAAACTCTGGCATTTTGTTGCTGCCCCGCTTCAATTTGAACATCCAAAGCTGTCGATAAATTTCTTGGAGGCATTTTACAACAAATTGAAAAGTTGATGAGAGCAGGGATTTTTGTCCTTATCAAATAATAACGATCGTTCGTTAGAAAATATTAGGCTAGTAAACTACTGTTATGATTTGATGCTGCTGAAAAAAAATTTTGATTTCATCATTTGTAAGAAGTATTTATTGTTTTTTCATTTCTTGATACTCGCTTGGCATGAATACCACGTTTATATACAATATAAATAGTTTATAAAAAATATAAAAAAAGTGATCATACAATTTCCACATTTGGAAAGGTGATCAAATTCCACCAAACTAACCAATTCGACATCAATCTATATACAATCTTTTTTACTTTATCGATATACATACAATCTTTTTACTCTACATTATTTATATTATTTATATTATTTATATTATTTGTATATTAATTATGGTAGTACAACTGTCGCGCATGACGCCATTTGATCGTTATATATTAGATGACAAGTATCGGAGAATTATTTTATCCTTTCTAATCTGCACCATACTTTTTCTTCTGCATTTATCCATTAAAGGTGGCTTGATATGCATACATATACAAACAAATACAGCAAAGATTTGCAAATTAAATTTCCACCCGATTTGTTTTTTCGAGTCGAAGCATCTCGATGATTATATCATCGCGAATGGAAGAATTTGAATTCAATTCATGGAACAAGTTAGTCGGCCGGATTTTTGTTGAATGTTAATTTTCATTTGTTGTGGCTGCTGAAAGCCGAAAAATTAACTTTACATTCTTTACGTGTATACAATATATTTTATGGCATCATTCGCAATCATGTTTTTTTGAGAAACTCATTGGTCAGATTTACATTATAAATATATAATATATAATAAAGATATAGAATTTACACTACACATTTAAATAAATATATAATAAATAATAAAGATACAGAATTTACACTACACATTTAAATAAATATATAATAAATAATAAAGATATAGAATTTACACATTTGGCAAATAATACTAAATGCTTGGATTGTAAGCTTTACAGCCAAAAACTCTTTCTCCAAAGAATATTGACAGTCATTTCGATAACAAAAAAATTTTTAATTTTTTCTCCTTCGAGAAATTGTTTCCGAAAAATATTTCTTTTTAAACAACATAAGCCTATGAATTTGCCATAAATATCGAGCATAATTAAAGTGACATTGTTGCAGTAAACACGTTGATTTGAACATTGCCTAATTTAGAGCGCGTTTCGACAAATGCAACGTCCTCGGTGTTTGACAATTTTTTTGTTTGTTATAAATGATAATTTAGAGAAGCTGTTCATTCAAAAAAGAATTCGATTTTAAAACCTTAATTTGGTAGTCTCTCAAACACATGGTTAATATCATGAATTGAATCTGTGTCAAATGTTCCTTCTTTTAGAAAATCAATCAAAAAAAAATAAGCCGTTTTCACGAGATACCAAACTACCATGTTTATCCATTTCTTTAAAATTTAAATTTTTGCGCCATCTCAAATCAAATCCTACCATAAAAAGTATTAATGTTTCATTATGAGATATTTTAAGAATTTTTAGAATATTGTTTAACGAAGAATAAAAATAGAAATGTAAATGTAACAGTAGTTTTTTCTTTTCGATATAAAATTCTAGATTATTCTGAGACGTCTTTCGCAGAATATACATGTTCCAAGAAATGATCGTCCAAAAATATGCATAATCCGAGTATCAACATTGTCGATCAAATTTATGAGGTGTCGGGATTGTTGTTCCGAGTGTCTCTCGGCAGCGCCCCGATTATCTCATAAAATTAAAAAATTCCATGGCCAAAACCATGCTATTGTAATTCGTTTAATAGTGTATTACGATTGATGAAAATAAGACGTTTTTTTTTTTTTTAGGTCGGATTAAGGGATAATAATAGATAAAATATTACAAATAACAAGAAGTTCCATGCTGCATATCCTAATGAAGCAAGTAAAACCTACTTTACCTTAATGAAATAAAATGAGTAAATGTTTTACGTCATTATTTCGGTACAAAATTTAAGCGAACTCTAGAATTTTTTATCCTAAATTTAAAATGATCGATGTTCATTTGTATACGTAGATCTATTTCATTGGTACAATTTTTATTATTTTTCCTTGACGCTTTGCAGTGTTTGTTTACGTTATCTAATTTTGAATTTCTGAATTTATATTGTTTACAATAGGATCTGCATTGTCGTTATATCGAGAGTCGACTGTAGTTCGATTGACATCATAATGTATTCATCTTGATAAATTATTAGTCAAAGTTAATTTCTCGGATAGTTCAAACTTTACATATGATAGAATAGTCCCTTTTTGAACATATTCACGGATTAAATTTGTATTTACTTCTTAGTAAAGAAGTTTATCCATTTTATAAAACACAAACATTTGATGACTTTAGATGTTATGTACATGTTCCGTATTTGCATTAACCAGTGATATTCAATATTAAGCTTTTTTACTAACGTATCATGCATGCCTCTATGTACAGTTGCCGGAAGATTTTTAGCCGAATACTAAACTTGCCACAATCTTTGGTGTGGCTTGAAAGTGGTGGCTAAAGAGTTGTATGTAGCACGATCTCATCTCTTGTGGCTAAGGAGGCGTATGTATCACGATCTCATATTTTGTGGCTGATAAGCACGGTGACCGAATTTACTTCGCTCACTTGTGGTGTGAAATTGATTCTTGTGTAGCTAAATATCCAATCTCGATTACTAAGTATTCTTCTTTGGATAATAAATGTTCGAGAGCAAATTATGGTGTGAAATTCTTGTGTAGCTAAATATCCAATTTTGATGATCAAGTGTTTTTCTTCGGATAATTTAAGTACTCTACTTGGTCATTTCGTTAAGAGAGAGAGAGAGAGAGTACTACATTTAATTGTTTTCTAAATCAAAAGTAAATTAAATTGATATGAATGTCAATTTTTCTTTAAATCTATTATAGTCAAACCTTGTGAACCGAACTTTGTTAATCCGAGGCACATCATACTGGAAAAATTATAAGACGTGACTAGTGAAACTTCCCCCCTCCCCATATCAAATCACGTAATTTGTGGCACTTTCCTTAGTAGAAGATTTTGGATTTACTATAACTGTTCCTGGAACCAGATTCGGTTTCACAGGAGAGGAAGGGGGAGCTTACTTAAAAATCACGTAATTGGTGGCACGCCTAATAGTTCCGACTATATCGAGCTTTGCCCGTGTATTCAAAGAAATTTAATTTGTTTTTTCAATTTTCTTAATTTATCAAATACGTATTTGTTTGAGACACCGTATATTAGAGATATAAATAAATATCAGTGTCAAATTAATTATTAATTATTGGAATGTTATGGTGGTGGTGCATGACATCTAAACTCAACAATAGATTGTACATGCATTTTATAAATTCTTAACTAAGAAATAAATACAAGATTTAATTCGTAAATATAATAAACCAGGCCTTTCTTGATCAAATTCACGTATTTAATTTTTTATTTACTTAAGAAGTTTATTGAATTTATAGAATACAATCTATTGATGAGTTTAGATGTTATGCATTAGCGATCTTATTTTGTATATTTCAATTTTTATTTTTCGTTCTAATTATGTACAAAATTACTTATTTTTAGAGTCTTGATTTTAGTATACTGAATCATTTTAATATGACGATTTATTTTAGTATGACGAATTTATTTTATTATGCAAAAATTTTTTAAAATGTTGAATATATTGAATCGATTTTGGTAATTTATTTTAATATGACGAATTTGTTTTGAATCGATTTTTAATAACTATTTTAATATGATGAATTTATTTAGTATGACGAATTTATTTTATTATGCAAAATTTCTTTGAATATATTGAATCGATTTTGGTATATTTGATTAAATCAGATCAATCAAAAATACATATTTTCCGTTTTTATTTGATTTTTAACAATATACTTAGTTTATTCAGATGCGTACTAATATTTTTCTGATAAAATTTAAAACTTTTATATATAGTAGCTAACAAAATTATAAAACTATGCCATGTAATTTTATTAATAAAACATAGTAATGATTGAATTTTTGTTTTTTATAAGTTATATTTTAATATATATTTTTTATATTTAATTTGACAAAGTTATTTTAATTGTAAAGTTATTATAAAAGATCATTTATAATTAAAATATAAAAAATTTTTTAGATTAAAATACAGAAAAAATACATGTTAAAATATAACTTATAATCTTTATTTTGATATAAAAATACAAAATATTATTAATAAAATTGAAAACTTTTATATAAGATAAAAATTTCAAATTTTATTGTATTTTATTAATTAATGTATGTAATTTATAACTTTATTAGTTATTTTGTAATATAATCTATAATATTTTACGTTATTAAATAATTTTATAAT